CATCACTAAACAGGATCCTGCGGCACAACGTGGGGAAGGTATCAGAACAACAGAGTCTGTCATGTGATGACGCCGGCTGGGTGCCCATCGAGGAGGTGCTCAAATGTGAGTCCATCTGGAGGCACGAGTACGCACGCTGGCCACATGTATTCCTTGCTCCAAAAGGAAGAGCAAATGATCAGAATGCATGGAATGTCGATGAGGCAAACTACCGCATGACATTGCTCTTCAAGATCATGTTCCACTGTGCCCGGTATGGACGTCGCGTTCGTGAACAAGTCTTGGCATTTGGTATCAACAAGGACATTGAGCGCACCAGCCTGACGTGCATTGACAACAAAGTCGATGCGGACACGAACATTCCTGATGAAGGTCTACTGCTCTACCCTGTGGCGGTCCGTGCTCCTACGGGGCACAAAGAAGGATCTTCAAGGGACGACGTCTCATTGCTGTCCTCATTACTTTCACATCCAATCGCGCCCAACACCATTTTGTCGTTACCGGTTTGTTTCCACATCACCAAGAAGACCAACCTTCGAAGCATTTGGAGGCAGGGATTAATTCCAGGAGGTCTTGGAGAAGGTCATCGGATGTTCACGTTCTTCAACCCGTATGTGCCATGGGATCACAGATCCTGGACCATCACGAAGAGCGTTGATACGCGAAAGGGGGATTACATTTGCTTGTTCATCCCGACCGAGACCTTGATGGTGGAATATGGCGGTCGGCTGACTGACTCGGGACAGATCGTTTCACCAAAGATCATCCCGTTCTCGGCAATCAAAGGAGGATGGATTCAGGACCCCAAGGACCAAAACAATAAGACATGGCTCAGGTTGTTCGTCCCGTCGGGCGACGACCAAGTAGTCCAGTCTGGAACTATCAAATCAAGAACGGTAGCCACCAAGGAGTCCATCTTGAGGGTTGCAAGTCAGTGCATCGACGCCGAAGATCAACCGTTTGACGAAACCGCCATGGATGCCATGAACATCGTCAACCAATTCAAAAACAACCTCATCGAGCCTGGCGGACAAGAGCAATACCTGGCCCGCATCAAGCTGATTGACTACATAGTCGAACGCAAAAGGGTGCAAACATCAGGTTGCCGCCATTGTCCTCACTGTCTCACTGAGACGCCGACAAAACTAGCAGTGTGTCTAGTTTGCTGGACGGAACTTGAAAGTTGTGGAATCCGTCCCTATCGGCTACAAGCTCCTGAAGACGATGAAGATGAGGCCACGAAGAAAGAGATCGATGAAGAAGTTCGTCGACAAGAAGAATCGTTGTTCAAGGATACGGTCCATCAAGCACAAGAAAACGTATCCGAATCCAACGACTATGGCTTCAATCCTGACGAGGTCGACTACAACGAAGGCGATGATGAGGAAATGGATCAGGAGGAGGAAGCCCAACAGGAAGACGACGAAATCGTTGAAGAAGACGACGATGAAATGGAAGTCGAACCTGAAGATGAGCCCTCTTCCAAACTTCCAGCATGGACCAAGAACCTCGAGAGCGGCAGCAAGGGTATGCCAGAAGACGGACTTATCAACAATGATGTCTCCGAGGCCGCGGCTCACTTGAATGACAATGCCGTCATGTCAATGATCATCACAATGTTCAGGACCCCAGAGGAGTACTATGAGATGATGACGGAAACCAAGCGAGTCCGGCTGGACCTGGACGACTTCTGTCCTTATACAGGAGAAGACCAGGATGGCAACCTCAAGCGCCCGACGGAGCTGGAGTTGGATGAACTCTTTCAGGAGAAAGGGAAGAGGAATTCATGGTCAGAAGGAGAGAAGTTATACTCAGGGCGACCAAGAAACATGATGATGCCTGTCATCAAGACTTTAGAGATCTATGAGAAGATGATGGAATTTCTGGTACGAGCCGGGTACACTCCTGAGTCATTAGGCTTTCTCATGCCAATGAACCGAATGCAGGCTGATGCCCAAGGGAAACAGGAGATGCGAGTAACCATCAGCAATTTCCTTCGACGACTGCTCAAAGGAACCTTTCCGGAGCACGAGTCATACACCTTCTTTCGCTCCGGGAGCCACGGCTTCCCCAACTGCATCGAACTCCCAGCTTTCTCAGTATATCTGAGCCTGAGGGAGAAAGAACAGAGAGTAGAACTGCTCTTTGCCGCCCAACAATGTGGCATTCCTTTACCTCAAAACTTTGTCAGCAAGATGGCTTATGCTATTCAGCTGGCCGAGGCCGAGGCGCAGAGGGGGAAGACCGAGATGAAAACGAAGATGGCTCCAACCCTTGGCGACGAAGTGGTGGGTGAAGTATTCAAAGCGGTTGGACATACTGCAGCTTCCAAGTTTGCTAAACCAACTGCGCAACCTTCACAGACACCTGAAGGCACTGGTTCAGCATCATCCTCATCGGCTAGTGCACCAAAGGGCAAGGCTATGCCGAAATCCCATGAACCATCAAAGGCACCGCCTGCAAAGCCTTCATCGCCGAAAGCTGCTCCGAAACGTGCGGCAGGATGGGAGAGAACTCCAACAGCACCTCAATGGAAGAAAGTCCGCCGTGAGCAGTAAACCAATTGCTTCGATCCGTCAAAATGATCACTGGGCTACAAGATGTTTACCGTCTTTATGAACAGATGATCAGGAAAAGACCAACTGAGTGGACACTGAGCGAGGCATTAGACTAATTCGCTTAGGTTCAAGACTTTTGATATTCCCAATCTGCACGAGATTCTGCATTGTGCACGTGAATTCGTTAGTTAGCATTGTAAATCTTTGGTAGCGAGGCGATCCATTTCTCCCGACGGGTGAGTGGCATGCTTAGCCAACGTAGAAAAGTAGATGTTAGCTAGCAATAATTCGCGTTGTACAGCTTGAGGAAGCGCCGATGCATCGACAGCCAAAGAGTAGGCGAACCCTGAACCATTATTCCCGACGGGTATGTGGGGAAGGGGGAGCCAAATGGCATGTTTTATGTACATAGGCGTAATTCGAGTAGCAGAAGAATATAATTCAAAGTTCCCACTCTCGTGCCTATGGTTCGAAGACGCCATAGGCATGGGGGGTGCGAAGGGGAACGAGATAACACAGTAGTCACACATGCTGAGCATGTGCACATTCTTGCATGGGACGCCACTTTGGCTCAAGACCCACTGCGAGGCCAAAATAACGCGCTCCGCTGCTGCATGGTTTGACAGCTCTGACTATCAGCACATAGGGAACTACAACCGAAGGATATCCAGAACAAGGATCAATTTGTTCACAGTTAGATAGCAGATGCTAGCGCGCGTTCCAGTTGCAGTTGCACGCTTATGAGTGTTTCTTCATTTTGTTCATATTCATGCAGCTGTTAGAAGCGTCTAAGTTTTCTTGTTTGGCAGCACAGCAATGACAGCCTGTCAGGTCAACAAGATTTAGCTCGTGATCGTGACGATTTCCTAGATGATGCAGTCAGTCCTGAAGGAGTTCATCCGTCAATGATGGAAGACTCTGCTGACTTCGCCGACCCTCCTGCAGGGCCTGCAGAGGACCATGCCATGGTGAGGCAGGTCGGTGACACCTTCGCCGAGATGGCGATGGGCGCCGACGATGCCGAGGCACCGAGGGGCAGGGCGGTAAGTCATCCCTATCCCTAGGCCCGAAATCTCCTTTTCTCTCCTTTTCTCTCCTTTTCTCTCCTTTTCTCTCCTTTTCTCCTTTTCCCAGCCTTTCCCGCTGTTTCCCTTGCAGCGACATGTGACTGTAGTGTTGCCCTTCTGATCCTTCGCTGGGCTCGCGCGGAGTAGCACAGCCATGTAGCAGTGTCATAGCACAGGTAGAATGTAGGCACATGGCGGCCTTTTGTAATTTGTCTTTCCCAAAGGGCGACTGAGAAGAAGCCCGCCTGACACAACTCACATGACAGGGCACAGGCAAGGATCGCAGGGTAGAAGACAAATTGTTTTGAAAGATCCAAGGTCCTGGAAGAATGGCAGCAAGAAAGTGCTGTTTCTCAGCATTCTTGAACTTTGCACTTCAAGTGCTTGGCTGGTGAAAAGTGGTCAAGACAGAGATGGAGCGGAAAACATTCAACGTATCTCGAAGCATCCGTGGAAACATAGTTATTGGATGTTATTGGTAATTTGCTGGTGCTCGCTGCAAAAATGGCGGTGATGCAAAAAAGCTGCTTGCTACATAAACTCTGCAACATGCAGAGATTTGCGCACAAATGGAATTACTCAATGATATGATGATCACATCGAAATTCATTTGTGCGTATTTTAAGTGAAACTTGATCAGCATTGATCAGCTCTGTAGTGCCCTCAAAGGTGTTCAGCAGGCGTCTGATCTCTGATCACGGGCAGAACAAAGACTTTTGCCCCCGTTAACTCTTTGCCTTGTACTGCCAGAGCTTTTTGAACCTGTTTGGTACTTGCTCGGTGGGAGTGGCATTTCAATGCGTGTGATTGCGTGACAATCCAAAGAGAAAAAGGTTCGGGTGTTCAGAACCTGGTTGTTGTCCTTGGAAGAGCAAACATTCTCTGCGTTTTGCAGAACATTCTTGCCTTTTGCTGTGCTGGCACAATAAGAGAGCAGCCAGCAGACGTGACAAGGTCTTACACTGCTGATACAACATTTTGCGAGGGATCATGTACCGCTCACCGTTTCTGAATACCACAGCCATTGGCTAATCGCTGTACCGTGGTGAGATGAGCTTGCTTCGACTAGGAACCGTGTACATTTTCTTAGGATTGCAACGGGCGGATTGCAACAATGGTGCCCTGTTGAACAGTTTGCGCTTAGAATCGACGAACTTGTTTCCTGACGGACTATACGTGTCGTTCACGCAAAAGCAGTGAAGCTGAACCAATGAGATCCAATGAGATGAAATGCCGCGAAATGATTTCAAATTAATCATATACACTGCACCTTGCATGGACATCAAACCAAAGCCCGGGAAGGATGCCTATGTCTCTTGCATCGCCTGCGCATGGGCAAACGTCAGCGATGTCGATAGCATAAGCAGATTATACTGGCCTGTTTCGCCATGGCCATTGCTTAGACATCCAGATGCTTCACGCCAAGGCTTTGTGGCCCAAGTGTTCAATCAGTATTTTGAAGGCGTTCCAATCCTTGGTCTTTGTGCGAAATTACCTTGTTTTCCAGAATCCAGAACATTTATGAACATTTCATTTTAGTATATTTTTGCTCTGAGTTGGCGTTGTTATGGTCTTGCCCAAGTTTGGTCTCCTCGTCGTCCGGCCTTGCCCTGCGGAGGCTTTGGCCGCACTGACCTTGGTAGCCGCACACCTGGTTTTGTCCACCCAAGGAATGTCGATGTACAGTGATGTACGTGAGTCTGATGGCCAGACATGGCTATCTGAATCTGAGATCTTGATCAAAATGCGGCTTTGAATACTCTCAGGCAGTCAAGGGCTACAGTGACGACAACAAAAACTACACAGTCTGGGGCTGGAAAGTTGACAGTTAAAGCTGCCGGTTGCTGCCACGATGCATTAGGAAATTGAAGCAGCCTCTTGAGGTGTGCGCAGAACTCTGGGATGTTTTTTTCAACTTGTAAAAGTACTTGGATTTCTTGCATAACATTGGGAAAGTCGGTTAATGGTTCTGGTGGCAAGGCTCTTCTGTGACTCTTATCATTTGTCAGAGCACAAAACTCACCTAGGAGACAGCGATTCCTGACCGCATTGGGGAGCCTTGCTTGGAGGTGGAAACCAGAGAGAAAGTGTCAGGGTACACAGAAAGTGTGAGTGCGGTCAGAGTGCCAGCTTTCTTCTGCTCATAGCTGGTGATGTTGTAGGCCTGTGGCAGTGGAGGCTGGTGTGCTTGGTGCGGCATTCGAAAGGCCGGCGTCTGCAGGAGTCAAACAAATTCAAACAATTGATAACAATTGATTCGATGAGAGTTGTCAAACTGGTGACTTTGGTTAGCGATTTTCAAGAATATTTTATTTGGTCGGTGCCGGAGATCCAGATGACAGATCAGATCCTTTGTTCAAACTTCAGTCCAAGTAACATCGTTCCCGCCTGCGCTGGGGAGAAGTTTTGATAGACATCGGTTGCCGTAAAGGAAATGGAGGGCCGACTCGTTCAAGAATTGAATGTCTGCATTCGCCACTGAAAGATTGCGTAAGTGAGTGAATGACCAATGATTCCTCAGGGGTTGGTAACTGTCCCATTTTGGGAATATTGGACATCACCTTATAGTAGCCATTATAGACCATATACCTAATGGTTGGGTGATGTTCAATGGGGACATTTAATGACCCATGTTCCTGCAATGACCCACTGGATGAGCTCCCTCTTTTCTGAGCTACCTCATTTTTGAGCTATATAATCGTTCTCTGAGCTGCCTCTGCGCCGGGCTACTTCTCTAAACTACCTCTTCTCTGGGTTTCCACTTCTCTGAGCTGCTGTTTCTTTTCATCTAAATCTAAACGTTTTTTCAATAGCCTTGGAGATATAAGGAAGCGATTTAAGGCACAAGGGCAGCTTGGGGCAGGCTTGCCAGACCATACAAAGTGAACAGGGACTTTGTAAATCTGGACACTTTGGTGTCAGGCATGCTGCCAGGCGGGCAATGGAGCCAAGGAGCCGAGGGCCCAAACTTTGAAACGGATGCAAGCAGTCCAAGATCAAGAGATTTCGACTTTAGGGACTCAAGTCTTTCCCAGTTCCAACTCCTTTGCCTTGTCATGGCCTTATCCAATTTTCGCAATTTTTCTTGGACGGTTTCTCGAGCATTGGCTCCAGGAATGTGTGGGCGCCGAAGACGTAGCCATTTCAGGATACCGATGTGCAATGCCGACGCCAAAGGCCGCACGTGTGAATTTGATATAATTTGATGGCCTTTTCTGGCATTTTGATTTTGACTTTGGATTTTTGAAGCAAGATGGCAAGATAAGGCCAAGAAATGCCAAGAACGAATACCAAACATCACTTGCTACGCTGCAAACTGCAAATTCCCCTCGCTTAATGTTTCAGGGACTCTAACCAGGGCTGGGGAGCATCGACGTGGCTACACGGCGTTTGTCTCTGTTGCCTGTCTCATATTCTTTTGTATGATTGAAGGCACTGGAAACTTTGCGTGTAGTTGGAACCTCAGTGATGTTTTGCGATTGTTGTCGATTATTGGTTCCTCTTTCCAATTTTCTACGCCCCTGTACTGCTAGGCAGGCAGGTTCATTCTAAAGGTTGTTCTTGTTATTTCCCACCTCCCAGGTGAGGGTCTCTAGATTTTAACAATTAAATGTGAATTTCCCGCCCTCACCCCTTCACCGCGTCCTCCTCCTATCTGCCAGCTCGTCACTGTGGGCACCAACGGACCCGGATGTCACAGCAACTATCAACTCAAGCGGAGCACTCTCGCTCCAGAAGCTTATCGCGATAGTCTGGGCATGCACCCAGAATACATGCCAGAAAGAATGACAGAAGAATGTCAGAAGGAATGCCAGATAGAACGCCAAAAAGAATGTCGGCGCAGATGCTAGATAGAATGCTAGAAAGATTGTCAGAAAATATGCCAGATAGAATATTGATACTGTAGAATGTCAGAATCGATGCCAGATAGAATGCCAGAATGATGCCGAATAGAATGCCAAATAAAATGTCAGAAAGAATGCCAGAATATATGTCAGATAGAACACCAGAAAGGATGTCAGATACAGTAAGATGTTTTGATATACATAAATATATATGCCAGATAGAATGTCATAAAGCATGTCAGATAGAATGTCAGAGTATATTAATATACACGTACAGGAAAGAATGCCAATATAAAATGTCAGAGTACATGCCAGATAGAGCCAGAATAAACGTCAGATAAAATATCAGAAAATGTGTCAGATGGAATGCCAAAAAGAATGGCAGATAGAATGTCAAACTATGTCAAAAGAATGTCGTGTTTTTCCCAAGTTTCCAAGGTGAACTTCGAGTTCGATGTCACAGGGCTTTTCTACGCAGCGATTCGCGCGTCGTTCAGCCTGGTTTTCCTGCTTGGTACTTGCTGCTCCATTAAATGACTTCGAGGCCAATCATTTTAAAACATTGTTTGGGGTCCATGTCAGGCATTTCCTAGGAGGGTATTGAAATCCCGACCATGCCAAGGAACCATGTTTTTTTTTCTTGGATTTGTTGTTCCCATCATTGAAGTGTGAAGAGCTGGCAAGACACCACAGGTCCATCCAGCAGAAAATGCAGGATGAAACATTGTGTGAAAATACCTCTTGGTTTTCTTACAAACTGGTTTTTGCACGGTGCTCAGCAGCCAAATGAACCATTATTTTTCATATTCATCTGTTCTAGGCAAGCACTCACCATCCAACGCAAAAGTCGACCATCTATAAGTAGCGAAGAGAATCGGAAAAATTGGACGACTGCATGTACATGATGGTTCCGGATTGGGCATGAGCGTTGTAGAACTTGGTTTCGAAGACTCGGAGACACGCATGCACAAACAACCAGCGTACCTGTCAAGCCGCAAACTTTGGCATTTTTTCCTCATTTTGATACATCAATAGATACATGAAATGTAACATTGACAACCGAACAACCCTAATAAACACTAATATACACTAATCAATTTCATGATATTCTACATAGCAGTTGAACTAGCAATAAGTGTCAAAAAACAATCCTGATTATAACAGCATCAACAACAACGACAACAACGACGACGACGACGGCAACGACAATGCCAATGATATTGATAATAATGATGATAATAACAATGACATAAAACATTGAATTACCCGTCATACTTGTCAAATTACATTGTGCAACAAACCCTCATTTTTTTTTCAGGGCGGCAAAATAAACGCAATGGTCACAACATGTCACAACTAAAACATCTTTTCACAAATGAGAACGCATGGGTTCGCTGAGATTCACTAAAACATATTCCATTTTATGGTGCCGTTGCCAGGAAACCCCAGTTGAGAAAGGAACTTGAGGACAAGATCAAGGCGCACTCGACAGCATTCAATTGTTTTTGTGCATTTCTGCACATATGTGGACGGGACATGTAGCTTTGACCAGCCAAAAAGAAACTTAGAAAATGTGAAGGTCCGTTTGTGTACTGCAATTTTCTCGATTTCGTTCGCGCTCCACACACACACACACACACGATGAATGAATATCATGAACCATCAACATACAGGACAAAGAATGGACAAAGAATGGACAAAGAATGGACAAAGAATGGACAAAGAATGGACAAAGTACAATACATTGCTGTCTCAAAATTTCTGCGCTGCAATTGTTGCAATGCTGTGGTCTGAAGGCTTGGGTCACAAAGCTCCTGTTGTTCACAGTGCAGACCCGCTTCATCTCCATCCAATGGAGCTTAGGCAACTGGGCAGGGCCCTGAAATCGACAATTGGGCAGCTTCATCAACATCATTGGGAAGAATTCTAGAAATTCCGGTTTGATCTATGTTTTGTCACAAGTCTTGTCCAACATTGTGCAGACTAGGCATCCCCAGCTGGGGGTTATGTAATTCTCATTAATTCATATTAATTCATTATTAATTCTCTATATTCAGCTGACACAGGCTGATACAAACACACTCCGCTTCCAGGCCAGACTGGATTCAGCCAAGTGAGTCTCGTGGTCATGGTTCGGACTCTTAGAAATTCCTTCCGTTCTCGGCTTCTTCACGTGGGAGGGAAATTTGAAAGCATAAGAATTAAAGATTAAAGATAATTAAAGGACATTTGAACCTGTAGCCTAAAACATGGATCAGTTTTTCCCACTCTGTGGACATCTTGTAGTATTCACAGTACTGCAGTGGCAACCGCGTTTTCCTTTTTGGATGAGACCAGGCTGTTGTTATACTAATGTGATACTCTTATGATCTCTTATGTATTCGATAAGCAGCAACATTTCAGCTTATTCATGGTATACTATGAAGGCCAGTGTCTCCGCATTCCAAGATAGCAGAATTTGTCGACCATGAGGCTGCTTCTAGGCTTGGGTGTCTTTTGTCATAGACGAACCTTTCCACAAGTCAGAGGTGATCTGCAAACGCACCCTCACCTGCGCGGTTTCGCAGGAAAGATAAGACAAATAAGACAGTTGCCAAATTTCATAATAAGGTGTAGGTCAAATCGGATAAGTGTTTGAGAAGGTGCAGTTCATACTCTGGCTCCGGGATCAAAGTGGACAGGCAAAGTTACAGATGCCGAAGATTGCCGAAGCGCATCGAAGCGCACTTCAACCGAGGTTCCTGAGGCTGGAGATGCCGGAAGGACTCTAGCAGCAAACAGGCGGGAAGCAAAGACGGCTGTGTGAAGATCAGTCCTGAGGCTTGGATTTAACAGCATAGTATGAAGAAATACATGTAATATCATGTATATACTGTAATACTAATACTGTAAATATATGTAACTGACGTAAATATAAAATACATAGTTGTATATCAAGTTCGCACTCCTCGCGAGTCCAATTGTGGCAGCTTTTGGTCTTCTTATTGCATGTGCTTTTTAATCCAATGTTTGGACAACGAGCGTCTCTGATTGCCAACATTTGCGAACGGTAGCAGCAATCCAGTCATATCCAGTCATCCTTGATCATCCCTTGTTTGGATCCTTACTTAGCAGGTTTTGTGGTGCCACGGCTACTGCAGCGATCCGGGGTGACGCTGGAGTCTAAAGTTTCAGTTGATGAAGACACTTGTTGCGCATAGACTGCAGGACGGTTTGACAAAGGGTGTTACACCAAGGAACGAAATGCCTTGCTGACTCAATCTGGAATCCTATTTCAGCTCGACACTTCATTTTCGGTCAGTTCCTTTGCCAAGGCGCAGAATTTGGATGGCTTGAAATTTGGCGAAGCGGATACCATGTCCCACATAAGGTGCCAAGCCACTTGAAATGGACTGCAACTGGGTCCCATAAGGGTGACTTGCACTTCCACACAATGCCCTCATGGGTGCGCACACACACACATACAGACAGACACACAACACATCACAACACATTTCTGCACCTGCACAAGCATCCACACGAATCAATACTGCGATGCTGTGCCACTGCACACAGGCTTGTTAATCGCCGAGTCAACGGGGAGCCTTGTGGAGAGGCCAGTCTTGCAAAAAAAAGATGACGTTTGGATCAGTGGCGGGCCATGCTTGAACTTGATGGGGAAGTTTGCAAAGGAGACGTCAAAACATGTCGAGCGACTCATTCAGATGATGAAGACGTCTCAAAGTGCTGCGGACTCAGCTGAATTTGCATGAATTTACTTCAGGGCAAGTTGGAAACCGTCTGAGTGGTGTCAATTTCAAGTTGATGCGCAGCGGATAGCTGAACAATTTTGAATACTTTAGAAGACATCACATGACCCCAATCGTGGGCCATTGAAGCAGCAAAAAGAACAAGAGGTAACAATGCTATCTACAGTGTCTACAGGTCAACGCCTCTTTCCAAAAAATGATCTATGGGAAGTCTAAGAGACATGGAGGAGACATTTAGGAAAAGAGCAGGGACCTCTGCAAGGATGTTGTTGCGGAATGTTGCGGAGGTTTGGCCATGGGTGCTTGCTGGATTCTTCACAGGACTGCCGAGGGCAGACACTTTCACTTTAGTTCAGTACAAACGGCAGCAAAGAGTACTGGAAACAAGGCTGAGAGGCTGAGACACCCTTGAGCCTATGAATGCCTATGAGCATCTTATAAAGCAGGATCATGCATGACCTGCTGGCTTGTGAGTGTTTGTCTCAGCAGATTGTACGTGAACAACAACCACCAGTCAAAGACAGAGAGAGAGAGAGAGTCAACAAAACGGCACCATGGACACTGACACATGCATATACCAACAAACTGCTGTCGGACCAGGAGGTCAAGGCTTCAAGTTGCGTACAAACCTTGAGCGACAATACTGAGGCATTTGTAATGACTACTGCCGAACAAGGTCACCGAAGGCCGCATTGAACATGCAATGACGGTGCAGCATGTTGCAGCGATGGATGTCTTTGTAGACGCGTACACGTGCAGAAATGCGATTTCTATTGATTTCTATGATTTTCTATTGTTGTCGATGCTTGCCCATTTTGCCCCCGACTATAGCTTCGAGAGCAAAGCACTTTGGAGGCTTTACCGAGGAGGTTTCCTTCAGAAGGCAGGACTGGCACAAGGACTTGCAGGAGTTGCGTTTTTCCAGTCCCTTGTTTTTCCCCCTGTTTTTTTCCATTGTTTTCAGTTCCCAATTTGGGGTGGTCATGGCCGTTGTTCATGATTATGTTTGGTGTTTGCCCTAAGCATTTGACGTGCACGAAATTACCAGGCAAGTGGCAGGCCCATGGCTCAGTGCAAGTAGTCTTGTGATGTCATGTGCACATCTCCGCCTTCGCCATGATTCGCACAATTTTGTCAGATTTCAGATTCCTTTGCGGGCAGGCTCTTCTGATGTGATTGATGTGATTGCAATTTGTGCCGGATTGCAAGGGAGGGCCTGCAGCTTCTCCTGTTCCGGGCCCATATCGGGAAGAGGCGCCGAACTTGTTTATTGATGTTTATTGTAGAAACAGTTTCGTAACAGTGGCAGTTCCAAGCAACCCTTTGAAGCGTGAGACTGTTGGCCTCAGCCCGAAAACCTTGCCCGTTTGGATCCCTTTCGGCGCATTTGTAAACCATTGCCATATTGCCATTGGGTTCTAATTTTGGTTTTCCAAACGTTGACTCCATAAAGTTGAAGATGTTGAAGGCACCTCTCTTGCAATCATCTGCTCCTCAGCAGCAGTCACAGGACTGAGTCGAGTGGCGGAGTGAATTTCAGAAAAGCTCTCCCATTTTTATCCCCCATGTATAGCTCACTATAAAGTGGACATCCTTTGCGCTTATAAAGTGGGTTTCCGGTCGCCACTTTATATACCGACAATGGGGGATAAAGCCATGTTTTGCGCGAGAAACATGCCCTTGGACCTGGAAGATGACTTTATAGCAACGTTGGCTTTCCAGTTTATACCCGGCTGGTTCCCCACAAGGAAACGACTCAATATATGCGGCAATGCATTTTATAGACCGTTGGTTCCCTTCAAAGAATGGCCATAATATGTCACACCATCCACTTTATAGAAACATGTCTCCCCAATGATTTCGGGCCAATATCTTTCTGTTGGGGCTGTATACATGGCAAAGCACTTTATAGAGTGAAACTTGCCCTTTAAGAAGAAGAATTTGTGCTGCATCCAGGGCACTTTATAGAAAGAAAATTGCGGCAGAGCATTTTATAGAGTCATGAGATACATCACCCAAATCACTTTATAGAGCTGCCCAGGACCCCATTCACCCTGAGGACCCCTTTCAAGGGAAATCTTCTTCTCTATAAAGTGGCCAGTCCAGGTAAAACCCCTGAAAAAACAGAATCTATGTTGGACTGGCCACTTTATACCCCCTCCCCAAACAGAGAATGCCTCTATAAAGTGGCCAGTCCAGGTAAAAACCCTGAAAAAACAGAATCTATGTTGGACTGGCCACTTTATACCCCCTCCCCCAACAGAGAATGCCTCTATAAAGTGGCCAGTCCAGGTAAAACCCCTGAAAAAACAGAATCTATGTTGGACTGGCCGCTTTATACCCCCTCCCCCAACAGAGAATGCCTCTATAAAGTGGCCAGCCCAGGTAAAACCCCTGAAAAAACACATTTTTACCTGGAATGGCCATTTTATACCCCCTCCCCCAACAGAGAATGCCTCTATAAAGTGGCCAGTCCAGGTAAAACCCCTGAAAAAACAGAATCTATGTTGGACTGGCCACTTTATACCCCCTCCCCCAACAGAGAATGCCTCTATAAAGTGGCCAGTCCAGGTAAAACCCCTGAAAAAACACATTTTTACCTGGAATGGCCACTTTATACCCCAGCCAGTGGGCTCCAGGACTTTGACCCGGAAACGGAAGGGCTGACAACAAGGTAAAGGGGGAAAACTACAACGGAGAGGTACAACGGGAAGGCTACCACAAGAAAATGAGACATGTCACGTTTATATACGTTTATTGTTTTCAATGTGTCATATAGATTGGCGATGATTGGTATATTGAATATGTTGTAGATGTATTTGGAACATATGTATACCTATGATTCACACATCAATTTAAATATATATAAATCATAAACACATGCCAAGCCAAAAACTTTTAGCTGAGTATTGTATTCCCAATCTGTTGGCAAATGTCCAGCCGATTCACCATGCGTGACCCAACAAGATTCAAACTATGGATTGTTTACTTTTGAAAAAAAAATACTGGGTGAATCTACGTATATCTATGACGACAATCTCCCAAAATCATCCTAAAAATCTATGGACATCTATGGACCAAAACCACGGCCACATGCCCATCCTCTATAAAATGGTTTGCAAGAAAGTTCAGCTCTATAAAGTGGTTTGATCACGTCATTTCTGGCAGCCCCACCCTCTGTATAAACTGGCCGGTCCATGCCCATCCTCTATAAAATTGTTTGCAAGAACCAGTATTTTTTTTCGAAATTAAACAATCCATAGTTTGAATCTTGTTGGGTCACGCATGGTGAATCGGCTGGACATTTGCCAACAGATTGGGAATACAATACTCAGCTAAAAGTTTTTGGTTTGGCATGTGTTTATGATTTATATATATTTATATTGATGTGTGAATCATAGGTATACATATGTTCCAAAATACATCTACAACATATTCAATATACCAATCATCGCCAATCTATATGACACATTGAAAACAATAAACGTATATAAACGTGACATGTCTCATTTTCTTGTGGTAGCCTTCCCGTTGTACCTCTCCGTTGTAGTTTTCCCCCTTTACCTTGTTGTCAGCCCTTCCGTTTCCGGGTCAAAGTCCTGGAGCCCACTGGCTGGGGTATAAAGTGGCCATTCCAGGTAAAAATGTGTTTTTTCAGGGGTTTTACCTGGACTGGCCACTTTATAGAGGCATTCTCTGTTGGGGGAGGGGGTATAAATAAAATGGCCATTCCAGGTAAAAATGTGTTTTTTCAGGGGTTTTACCTGGACTGGCCACTTTATAGAGGCATTCTCTGTTGGGGGAGGGGGTATAAAGTGGCCATTCCAGGTAAAAATGTGTTTTTTCAGGGGTTTTACCTGGACTGGCCACTTTATAGAGGCATTCTCTGTTGGGGGAGGGGGTATAAAGTGGCCAGTCCAACATAGATTCTGTTTTTTCAGGGGTTTTACCTGGACTGGCCACTTTATAGAGGCATTCTCTGTTGGGGGAGGGGGTATAAAGTGGCCATTCTAGGTAAAAATGTGTTTTTTCAGGGGTTTTACCTGGACTGGCCACTTTATAGAGGCATTCTCTGTTGGGGGAGGGGGTATAAAGTGGCCAGTCCAACATAGATTCTGTTTTTTCAGGGGTTTTACCTGGACTGGCCACTTTATAGAGGCATTCTCTGTTGGGGGAGGGGGTATAAAGTGGCCAGTCCAACATAGATTCTGTTTTTTCAGGGGTTTTACCTGGACTGGCCACTTTATAGAGAAGAAGATTTCCCTTGAAAAATTCCTCAGGGTGAATGGGGTCCTCGCGCCAAAAAGGTGTCAAAATTGGAGCCATTTTGCGCGCGCGCGCGCGCGGCGCGACCAGGACCCCTTTCACCCCAAGGACCCCTTTCAAAGGAAAGTGTGTTAGAGACATTCTCTGTTGGGGGAGGGTATAAAGTGGCCAGTCCAACATAGATTTGGTTTTACCATAGATTCTGTTAACGAGTTCGATATAGATATTTGTCTGGCTGTCGGTTTCGTTCGGTTTCGAAGTCATTCGAAGTCTTTTGGGTTCCCCATCGATGAGATCGATGATATTCCCCCAAGGTTTGAACGTGGCCCCTCAACTTTATAGACAATCATGTCGATGCTGCCATCGTCGCGATTAAGAAAATCATCGCTACTACAACGATCGTTGTTTAGCCGGAAATCCACATTATAGTGCCACTGTTCTGCACAAGTATTACTATCTGGATGTTCGGCATCTCACTTTATAGTCATGGGACATGTTCACAAGCACCCTCAAAAACCTGCATCGAGTTTTATGTTTTTACGCGGCCAGGCGACTTTATACAAACGTTGGATTTTGACTTTATAGACAAAACATGTTGGCTTTCCACTTTATAGACTCCAGACACGTGGCCATTCCAGTTTATACCAGGCTATTCTCTATAAAGTCGGCCGCAAAGCATCTAGCGGGCTATACATGGGGGATCCATTTTTTTAATTTCTTGTAGTTGTTCTGGTGGTGAGGTGGTTTCGCTCTTCTCATCAATTAGGGTGACTTCTTATCTTGTTTGGCTAGATGTCCAGCTCCTTTGAGAGTATGTTAGCTCAGGGCAGATTGGCATGAAACAAAGAGCCATGAACTGAACGATAGCCCATTGGTTTGGCATTGCCAGGCCACAATTGAGTGTTTCCAGTGTCTTTGCTCGATCTAATTGATGAACTTGGAACCCGCTAATGCTAGGTCTTTCACTTGAATCAAGGGTCCGCACTAGATGACTTAGATGTGAGATGATGTGAGTATCGTGAATGTGACCTTGACAGGACTCTGCCCGGCAACTGGTGATGCAAGGGCCGCAAGGTGCGAGATTATTTCACTGAGTTGTGAATCACTGTGGAAAGAGTTGGGAAAGAGTTGGCGGCAGCGGTTCATGTGAGCTACGTTTTTTTTAACTGATGGATTTTATATGAAAATGGAACTCCAATATGGCTGCGTAGGTTATTCTCTATGGGGAGTAGGCGTGCGTAGGCAGTTTGTGTAGGCAAGTTCGTGTAGGCAGGTCGCGTAGGCGCTGATGGATTGACATAGAGTAATCCAACTGGAACTTATGAAGGAATTATTATGAATAATATCTCGCTATATTATTTAAGGGCTGCCGCCCTGCCGCCGACCCCGGAAAAATCTTTTGATCAACCCATTGAAACTGGGGAAACCCCCATTGCGCCATGCTGCTTCTGCCATGGACGGCACCGCAGCCTTCACACTCAGCAGGCGCAGCCGACATTATAGAAAATTATGATTTTGGCTGCTTTTTTTCCTCTTGCTGCTGCTATGAATTTTGGCTACCTTTTCCTCCTGCTGCTGCAAAGGCTTTTGCTGCTGCTGGTCCCCGGATGGGAAAACACCATGGCAGTGAAGGACGGAGAAGCCCCTAACGTAACTTCTGAAACCATAGAAAATGATGATTTTGGCTGCTTTTTCCTCTTGCTGCTGCTATGAATTTTGGCCACCTTTTCCTCCTGCTGCTGCAAAGGCTTTTGCTGCTGCTGCTGCTGGTCCCCGGATAGGAAAACACCATGGCAGTGAAGGACGGAGAAGCCCCTAACGCAACTTCTGAAACCCATAGAAAATTATGATTTTGGTTGCTTTTTCCTCTTGCTGCTGCTATGAATTTTGGCTACCTTTTCCTCCTGCTGCTGCAGAGGCTTTTGCTGCTGCTGGTCCGGATGGGAAAACACCATGGCAGTGAAGGACGGAGAAGCCCCTAACGTAACCTCTGAAACCCATAGAAAATGATGATTTTGGCTGCTTTTTCATCTTGCTGCTGCTATGAATTTTGGATTTTGGTTGCTTTTTCCTCTTGCTGCTGCTATGAATTTTGGCTACCTTTTCCTCCTGCTGCTGCAGAGGCTTTTGCTGCTGCTGGTCCGGATGGGAAAACACCATGGCAGTGAAGGACGGAGAAGCCCCTAACGTAACTTCTGAAACCCATAGAAAATGATGATTTTGGCTGCTTTTTCCTCTTGCTGCTGCTATGAATTTTGGTTGCCTTTTCCTCCGGCTGCTGCAAAGGCTTTTGCTGCTGCTGCTGGTCCCCGGATGGGAAAACACCGTGGCAGTGAAGGAGGGAGAAGCCCCAAAATTGCATCCCGAAAATGCCTAACGCAACTTCTGAAACCCATAGAAAATGATGATTGTCTGCTTTTTTTTCCTCTTGCTGCTGCTATGAATTTTGGCTGCCTTTTCGTCCTGCTGCTGCAGAGGCTTTTGCTGCTGCTGGTCCGGATGGGAAAACACCATGGCAGTGAAGGACGGAGAAGCCCCTAACGCAACTTCTGAAACCCATAGAAAATGATGATATTGGCTGCTTTTTCCTCTTGCTGCTGCTATGAATTTTGGCTACCTTTTCCTCCGGCTGCTGCAGAGGCTTTTGCTGCTGCTGCTGGTCCCCGGATGGGAAAACACCGTTGCAGTGAAGGAGGGAGAAACCCCAAGATTGCATCCCGAAAATGCCTAACGCAACTTCTGAAACCCGTGGAAAATGATGATTTTGGTTGCTTTTTCCTCTTGCTGCTGCTATGAATTTTGGTTGCCTTTTCCCCCGGCTGCTGCAAAGGCTTTTGCTGCTGCTGCTGGTCCCCGGATGGGAAAACACCGTGGCAGTGAAGGAGGGAGAAACCCCAAGATTGCATCCCGAAAATGCCTAACGCAACTTCTGAAACCCATAGAAAATGATGATTTTGGTTGCTTTTTCCTCTTGCTGCTGCTATGAATTTTGGCTACCTTTTCCTCCTGCTGCTGCAGAGGCTTTTGCTGCTGCTGCTGGTCCCCGGATGGGAAAACACCGTGGCAGTGAAGGAGGGAGAAACCCCAAAATTGCACCCGGAAAATGCCTAACGTAACCTCTGAAACCCATAGAAAATGATGATTTTGGTTGCTTTTTCATCTTGCTGCTGCTATGAATTTTGGCTACCTCTTCCTCCTGCTGCTGCAGAGGCTTTTGCTGCTGCTGCTGGTCCCCGGATGGGAAAACACCATGGCAGTGAAGGACGGAAAAACTCCAAAATTGCACCCCGAACATGCCTAATGTAACTTCTGAAACGCAACTTCTGAAACCCATAGAAAATGTGATGATTTTGGCTACTTTTGTCTGCCGGGGTCGGCGGAAAAAGTCTTATTCCCTGGCGCGCTCGCGCTCCGCCTTGCGCCTGCCGGGGTCGGCGGATATATAGTGGTTTGTTTGTCTTTGGGAATTACTTACAACAAATTGTTCAGAATGTAAATGTGTTTGTGTGTCTCAGTGGCTCTAGATCTCGCTTTGCGTTTCCGATTTGATGGTCAAAACCATGTCTGACTGTGATGTGGAAGAGAAGTTTCGCAAGTCCGGGCGATGTGTTGGGGATACTTGTTGTGACTCATTGGTGATTGGTATGTTTTCTGGATTATTTCATGATATTTTTAAAGTTCGGTGTTGAGGGGCTACAATTTACGTAGTAAGATGCTCAATCCTAGGTAAAACCCCATTGCGTAGGGCTCGCGTAGACATGTGTTGCCAGTGTATAGACCCAGAGCAACCAAAAAAAACACGGCTCCTGTGAGAACCGAAAGCGCCAGAGTTGCAAAACGGTATTCTTCGCTTGGCCACTCAATATAGTATTTTGATTGTCTTGCTGTGAATCATTGGGTAGTCCGAATTTGATACTTTCAATTCAATCACTTAAGACTGAAGGCATCTGGAGACATACTGAAATTATGTGAAACTTCTGTAAAATTGTGGTTTTTGAATTTTCCTTGGTGCTCACATCTTTGAGGTGTTCGCATGCCTTCTGTGCCTGCGCAAATGTCTGGTGCCTTTCAATCGTGGAATCCCAGTGTTTGAACCTTAAGACTTATTTCAACGGGAGAAACATGGAGAAACGTGAAGAAACCTTGGAATCAGAACATATCAGACTTGTTGGTGCAGCTGTGAAACATCAACATCTGATGCCAAGGCTCCTGTGTCAATGACAATGCGGAGCCAGTGAGAGCTCATCAACTTCTGCGACACTTAGGTTTCATTGAACATAAGAAACATAAATGAGATAACTATGGATAGCTATGGAGCATGGATAGCTATGGATAGCTGTGGCTGTGGATATTTGTGGATCGCTGGATATGGATGGGTATGGTAGACAAAGGCATAGATCTAGACATGGAATGCCTGATGGGTGACATGATCTCCCTGGATGAAACAATTCTCAAGGTATCTCAAGGTAATAAGCCTTGACGAACTGCTAATGCCTCCTGCCAAAGAAGCATTGGAGTCCCATAGACTCACGCTATGGCAACAACTTGAGTAGATCTCGGGATCTCTATGTCATCTATGTTAAATGCTGCCAGTGAAAGAAACCGTGCGCACTGTGTCCATGGAGGGAAGGACACCACATTTCTGCAGACGTTTATCCCGTGTTCATCAATCATCATCAATCGCCGAACGTTTTCCAAGTCAGACTGTGCAGGCCAGCATAGGCGGCTGGTACATATCGGAGGGAGAAAGGCATTGCAACATATACGGATAATTACGGATACGTGCAAAACTTTGAAATCATGGGAGCACACTTCATTGATCTTCATTGATCTTCATTGAATTCAGAAACAAGACGAGATACGACAAAGCTCGCGCACAATACATTGCCATACCATGCCCACAACGATCCACAACGTTAACATCACTTGTGACCTATCTCACGGATATTGTTGAGCCATGGCCGGATTCATTGCCTGAGGGTTTGTGACTGCTTGGCAAGGCCGCACAGCCGCACAACTTAAAAGCCATCATTTGAGTGCAACAATCCGCCTCAGTGCTACAGTCTTGGCTCATCTTGGGTCCTTGCTGTGATCAACAAGACTTGTACACCCATTTGCAGCTAGTCAAGTCAACGACATAGTTGGAATGGGCCGAGATGAGTGAGAGTTGACCATTTTTTAACTGCAGTCTGTCACATTGTTGACACCATTTCGAACGTGTCGAGGTCTTTTGTCGAATTCTTCGGCTCCTACATGAGTGCAGGTGGGAAGCTGACCTCATTATCATAGTCTCAAGATCTAGATGCGCAACCGCTGGAGAATCTATATCCCAGTCTCTGATTGAGCAACAAAATGGATAAAATGGGAAGATTTGTTTAGGTGAAGCCGGTGAAGCCTCACGTCGTTCTTGGTACAATGATGAAAGCCCCGGTGCTCGTTGGCATGGAACTCATCACAGAGAGACTCAGAGATTGACATGACATATTTTTTGATATTGCTATAGTGATCTATAGTGAATTGTTCATCACTATGTCACACATTTAATTGTGTTATTCATTGTGTTATTTCTTTTTTTAAGGCGACCCAAAATCAGAAACGCTTATATAGACACAGGGGGCTGGATCCTCTGACAGAGGCTGCCACAGAATTTCAGTGCTTGCACATTATCATGAGGACATGTCACGGTTACAGTATCTTGGGGCTGTTTGGTGAAATATACTACTGCAAACATGCAATACATGTAGGTCAGTAGGTCGTATATGTACATATCATCGAACGAAACATCATGGATTGAACCAGCAGGAGGTGATCATTTCACAATGATTCACCGAGGATGATCATTTTGCAATCTTAATCACAACCAAAAGGTGATGCTTTTAATTTGGAAGCACAGGGCATTGATTTGAAGCGGCTCTTTCTTCCACTGAATGCCCAAAAGGAAAAAAACAACACGTTTTCTTTACCTTTCATGTGAACATGTAAAATCATGTAAACAGTAAACATGTTTTCATCTTTTATGCGTGTTCTTTTCTCTGACCTCTCTTTTCTTTATCTTTCCTGTTTCTGGTCTTGTTCACCGTTGCACTTTGTTTGCCGCCTCTTGCTGCTTTGCACTTTTGTTCAACAGGGTTTCAAATGTTTCAATTCGTCCTTGGCCCCACTGAAGCCAACGTAGCTCAAGCAACCGTAGGTCCTGTAGGTCTGTAGGTATTATTAAGGCATTACTTAGGCATTAGATGCTGAATGCTGCCGATGCTGAGAAGCTTTCACAGTGAACGATCAGAGCACTGGGCAGCCGCCTGCAAAGTGAAACCTCCCAAGAATCATGCCACAAATTGGCACAAGAATGTGAACTGAAAACATTTGGTTGATTTTGGTTGTATGGAACATATGGAACTGCTTCCAGTACTCCAAACGCCTAGCTGAATTATGTTGAACTGGCAACTGCTGCGTTGTGAATGCATTTGCAAAGCATTGGGCCCCCCGAAATGGTGGGACTAAACAATTTCTAGATAAGTCCGAACTGACAAGATGCCACGTGTGCGAACAGCACTAGCTTCACAAAGTACTGCTAAGGTCGGTGAACAGCCACCTAGAAGCTGAAACCGGGTTGCGGCATCTCAGTTTATCAAATCCACTGTTTGCAGTTGCTAGTAGATGCTTGATGCCATTATACGCCTTTGGAAAGCCAATGTAAATCCACTACAGACATGGTAATTATGGTATACGCTTGTTTTGATGAAAGGCACTTAATTAATTTGTACTTGTAGTGCTGTGCATGTTGCATATCAATTCGGATCATATCTTTGGCAATTTGGCAATTGGTGCTGAATTTCCGGCTCCAATGCAATATATAGTTTGGCGATGTTTGTCCAAAACAAGGTATGATAGATCTGGACAGCCCTACGGAACCACACCTACGCCCGAGATTGTAGATGGCTTTGTGAGCCCTGCGCCTAGATTAGGGTTTGAGGAGGTTTGAAGTTCCAGGGGCTTCTGCAGCAAATCAAATCTACTACATCGATCTACATCGTATTACCTTACACGCCTAGATTCTGCACATTTCTGCACATCGAACCGCATAACTTAACTGACTTCATGTTCCTTGGTGTCAAAGTGGATGGCATTTTTGGTCCTAGGTCCAGACATCACGGTGACAGTGGATGATGAGATGGATGCATCACCAGGTGAGCCACGTTCTGAACCCTGTGTTCATGTTTAGCAAGAGGCCCTTTGTAAGGGTGCGGCTGAGCGAAACTCTGGTGAGCGTAAGCCAGGGTAATCTCCGCGTAAGACACGATCTGCGCGTAAGATCGTATAAGCAAAACCTGCGCGCGTAAGCAAAATCTAAGCAATGGCACATTTAGAACATGGATCAGGTGCATCTTTGGAGAGGCCACTGGGAGTTTCACCAATTCAACATGTTTAAAGGCTTTCCATATCTTTCCATCGTTTCATTAAGGTCTAGGAGTCTAGGAGTCTAGTCCGCAGATCACTTTCCATCACTTTCCTCGCTTCTCCGCAGGGCTGAAACTTGTTGTCGAGCACAGTCACTGATCGCCAGGCCGAGTCACAGTTGAGGTGCACGTCCCATCAATGCCATGGAGTGTGGAGCAGGATATTCTGTAGCACGTGCTGCTTTGTGTAGTTTTGAGCTGAAAAGATTTTAGCAGTCTTAGCACAAATCCCTGTTTGTGTTTCAAGAGGTTTCTAGCTGTTACAAGGTGTATTAATTTATTGTTATATTATGATATCAAATGATATCTATGAGATCTGGGATTGAGATCTGGGGTCCATTTCTTTTGGCCACGGTCAGGAGATGGATGAGTTGTTGGCGAGATGTCGAGAGGCCGAAGCCCAAAGTAGCATCGGTCCTTGGAGCCAGGCTCGCGAAGAAATGATAAGAAACGCAAAGGACAAGAAATGCCGCTTTCAATCTGCTGTGTTTTTCAATCTTTTCATGTTTGTGGTACGGATTGGTGTTCTCATTATTTTTCAGATTTTTTGGGCTTCTACGGCATGTGTCACAGAAACCGAACGGCCCTTTATTGCTTGCGAAGGCAAACACTGCCTCTGTTTCTTCAACAGCTAGACGGCCAGATATGGTGTGCGACACTCGGAAAAGCAAGCTTTGCACAGCGGCTGTGAGTTGCATTTTTGCGGAATTCAAATGGAAATGACCTAGAGATCTAGGGTCCATGTCATTTGCCGAGGTTTGAGGATGTTTGTATGTCATGATATGTCATGTGAGTCATCTGAGTTTTTTTTTCATTTGGATTTTGTGGATTTGAGGTATTTCCTGACAATACAAGAGCAGCGAGTGGCGCTGGCAGTTCCATCACCTCCTTCGCCTCGATCACCCTCAGAGATCTTAGAGCCCCGGCCACGGCGGCCACGGCGGCCACGGCCACGACAGCGCCCACAACGCCCCGGCTATGTCTTGAATCTCAGCAGATCGCAGCAGATCGCAGCAGATCGCAGCAAGATGTTTCTGTCACCCAATGTTGACCAGAATAGTCCACTATATTCCAATGTTTTAAAGATCTTTATTTTAAAGATCTTTAAAGGGCATATGAACTGGGCTCGACATGCATTTTGTTTGCGGGACTTCCGTGCTTTGTAAACAAGTTTCTTTTGAACTCAAGAGTTGAAATGCCGAAGTGAAATGCTCAAAATGCTCAAGGAACTTTCACTGCAGCCGACAAGAAGCGCGGATTGAGGAGGAGGCATTTGAGCCATTTGCATGTGAAATGATGTGAAATGATGTGAACGTTTGGCCACGCGGTGAAGTTTTTCGCCCAAGTGTCTCAGGTGTCGCAGCAAATGCACGAGGGGTCCAGTCCCAGGTCAGCAGAGGCAAGGCCTGGCAGTGTCACTTCCCATAGAAAGATTAGAACGTGAAAGTGAAATGCAGGGAATGAATTCAGTTGCAGGACTGGCAGGACTGGTAGGGATGGTAGGACTAGGGATCCAGGAATGTCTCACCTTCCAGAGCTTCCAGACTCGTGAGCGGTTCAAATCTGATCAAACTTAGAATCTTGGAAGGTGGGTGAGCAGCCCAAGAATTGGATGCCTGGCTGCATTCCAGAATATTCCAGATTAATTAGTCTTGGAACTCGGTTGAAGATGCTTTGACTTTGTTGCTGCTTCCTTGTGCTTCGCCATCCATGGGTAAAGCAGTGGCAATTCAAGAATTTGCGGTGACATTACACCAAGTTGAAAGAGTCAAGCTTGATGAAGTCTGGTTGAGACAAGAAACGATGCCAAACAAGACCACGTTCTGTAATGC